GGTTTTTCGGTTTTCTATTTCTTAGTTCTGCTGTAATTTCTCTTACCACAACTGGTTTTTGACTGTCTTGAATCTATAACATTCTAATAATGATTTAATACGTAGGAGAGATGGTCAGGTTTTACCACATATGTAGTGATAATTCTAGGAGAAAGATAAAAAGAAATCACATCCAAACCTTACATAAAAAAATGTTGTTTGCCTCTTTAATAAATTTTGGATAGTTAAGTTATTGGACCAATCGAAAGGATTCCCTACACATTTTTGTCCTATAGCACTAAGTTTGGCTTAGCAAGTTAACTGGTAAAAGTTAACGAAATTACAGTTTAACTCGTCGCCAAACTATGAAAGATTTTTTTTTATTTCCCCATACCGTGACTAAGCCCAATCAAACAAAACTACCTCTTAACGAGGAAAACACCTAGTGACGATTACATCTTCAACATGCAAAATAACTTTGATGGCAGGTAGGTTGAAATCAGCGAGAAATGCATCAACAAGTCTTCATGCCATCGATAAAAACCTCTTTTTAGGCTGTCATAAAAATTGCTTGATGACATTCATAAGGAATTCATAAACTTTTAATCGACAATTCGTCAGTAGATTTTCAATTCTACGGCTATATATGTAAGTACAGAACTGCGCTTCGTCACTATGTGGACTGTTATCCACAGTGATTTAAATTAGGAATAATTTTAAGAGCAAGTACTTCGACCACGGCTCTCTTTTCTATGCTCTCTTTGTGGCTTACTCAGCTCTCATACTCTTTAATATGGTAGCAGTTGTTGACAAACAGTGATGTCATTGTTTACAGTAAAAACAAGGGAGAACGCTATAGTCGATTACCTCGACTATCAGATACCCGTTACTCAGCTAAATGGAGATATGCAAGCAGCAAAGCGAGATTAAAATGCGCCACCTACCGGCGGTATACAGATTTAAGCGTTATGGGCGTTAGAGTGGGCGTGGCAAATTTTTTTTTGGATCAATCGATAGGTATTGACGAGACCAATACATTTCAGTTAAAAATTTTTATCTAGCATGAAAATTGTGGGCGTCACAGGGTTTTGCGGTTTGTGGGCGTTAAAGTGGGCGTGGCAAACTTTTTTTTGGGTCAATCGATAGGTATTGATGAGAACATTACATTTCAGTTAAAATTTTCTATCTAGCATGAAAACTGTAGGAGCCACAGTTTTGGGCGGTTTGTGGGCGTTAGAGTGGGCGTGGCAGTCTACTGAAACAAACTTGCGCTGCGTAGGAAGCTCAGGAATCTGCACGCCAAATCTCAATAGCCTAGCTCCCATAGTTTCCGAGATCTCAGCGTTCATCCGGACAGACGGACAGACGGACATGGCTAGATCGACTCGGCTAGTGATCCTGATCAAGAATATATATACTTTATGGGGTCGGAAACGCTTCCTTCTGCCTGTTACATACTTTCCGACGAATCTAGTATACCCTTTTACTCTACGAGTAACGGGTATAAATATTTCTCTACGGAAATCACATCAAAAGTGAAAGATTTATTTTTTATTAAGCATATTTGCCTTAATAAACTAGAATTAAACTAATACAACATGCATAGATGAATGCAGATATATACTTACGTGACGCAGCTCACTTCAATGGATCCGAATGACGGTCTGGTTATATAGGGCGGTGCGAAATCTTCTACTTTCTAAAGAGAACTGAACTTTTAGGGCTTTACAGCAATTTGTGGAAATTTCTGCTATTTGAATAAGATACAAAAAAATTGTTTTTTCGGGGCGCTAGATTAAAAAACATATTTCCAGAAAAAAAATTTAAAAGATGCCGCCCAAGATAAATGGGTATTAAAATAGTCAGAAACCTAGCTGATAATGACAAATACCATTTTATCAAATATTTCTTCTTTATACTTAGTTTCTTCCGCTCTAATTGCCCTTAGTCTATCTGGTTTTTTATCACACTAATAGAAAAATGCCGTTTTTGTCAATGCTTAACAATTACCATTATATTTTTAATAACAAGTTTAGTTGATTAAAATGGGGGTTTCTACAAGTGGACTGCACGCAAGTTTTATGTCTGGAAACACATGAATAGCTGGTTTTTCCAAAACAATAAATATTCTTCAATAACAAAGTACATTTAAAATACGGTTGGGATTTTCCTTACGTATCTGGTAATCAAGAAAAATATTTGCTTGCCTTTTCACAATCGTGACCGAAAAAAATAATTAAAACAAGAAAGAGCCTGTTACTCCAGTTACTCAGCTAAAGGTAGTGCGAGGGAGATGGAGACATGCATGCAGTAAGTCGGCTGTTTCCGAGATTGCGCACTTTATTTGTTTACAACTTTTTAAAGAATGGTCCGATCTAAACAATTTTTGGTATGTAAAGGCGTATTGATAATCAGAAATTACCTCTTACACTTTCACAAAATATTAGACAGGTTCTAGCGTTATAGGCGTTTGTGGTCTTGGCGCCCTGCTGCGCTGCGCAAGAATCTCTAGAATCTGCATTCTTAATTCTTATATTGTTCATACTACAGAGATTGCACTTTTGACTGTTTTCTTTATGTATGGATAGCGGGAGAGTGGATAGAGTGGCAATGCATCCAAATTTTAAAATTGATCGAAGTTGATGTAATTGCAACTTCTCGACCGCCTATGAAACCTTTACACACTGTTGTGTATTTCTGTTCTATTATGAAAGGTCACAATTGTAACATTGTACAGAAATTTGAGTTTCAAAGTCTTTTTTAAGTGAGCTCTAGGCCCAATAGTATTTTTCAACGAAAGTTCATGCGAAAAATTCTAGAAAGCTCTGAATAGTTTTTACAGGGTTCGCATACCCTGTGGATAGAAGAAGAGATTTTTCGACGAAGGATTCAAAATGTGACAATATATTGTACGTTATTTGTTACAAACTGTGGTATCTTTACAGCATATTTGTAAGAGACGTTTATATTTTAGTATCAATTTTTTTTTGCGTTGTCGTAACTGTAGCCTGACCGCTTACAAAATTGTGCGAATATTCGGCAATGATGCGAGTAGTCTAAATAAGACAACAAAGGTCACTTCCAGCTAACTTTTTAGTTAATCATTTTTACATGATGCAATCAGTTTAAGGAGAATTAATCTACCGTTTGTTTTAAAGCTCTCTAACTACTCCGCTGAGCTCTATCATGATTAATTTGTTATAATTGTATATTCTAAGCTTAAACGTTTATTAGTCACCCATTCGGTAGATGTGAAATCTAATTTGGAATTAGAAAGTATCTTAAACCTAAGTTGAAATTCACATATATATCTTATAATACAGTTCAGCACTTTAATTATTTTCAATTTATTTAAGGGCTAACCAGGCGTCCCTGGAAATAGATGGTGTTCGCATCGCGAATGACAAAGGCAAAGGGATGATCGGCCACGAAAAACATAGAAAATCCAGCTCGATTCGTGACGGCTACAGCTGGGGATTAACGTAAACAGTGAGTATATATAGTATTGTAGGGAAGATAACCAAATCTCTACTCACATGTGGCAGCCGCGGCCTCTGCCCCCTCCTCGTTCACCTCCAGGAACGCCTTGTGCGAGACTTGGCTGACTTTTCCGCCTGACTTATCGCCGAACAAGCCGCTTAGGTCTGAGTTGTCGGTGAAAAGCTCTCGGATGCCCAGCTGCAATGGAATTTCAGAGTGGCTAAACCAGATATATTTTTTTTAGAGATAACTTACCTTCTCTAAGGTCTCTTTAAGTTCGTCACGAAACTCGATTTTGAACCTGGGCAGCTTCACATACACCTCCCTGGCCTCCAGTGGCCTGGCGAATCCAGCGATCTTCTCCTCCAGAGAGCCCAGGCCTCCGACTTCGCGGGGCAGAAAGATGGTCATGGACAGGTTGGAGTTCTGGTACGGCAGCTCGATTACTTGAGCGTCCAGGTCTCGGAAGTAGTTCGCCCTGAAAGTCCCCATCTGCACCATCATTGGGACGGTCACATTCTTGTCGGCGCTCACTTGGAAGGTGGAGGATCTCGTTTTATCTGGGTCAAACTTGGACTCCCACTGGCCCTTGAAATAGATGGCGTTCACCAGCAGGGCCTTGACATCGGGCGACATGCTGCCGGGATCGATCATGTCCTTGATCTTGCCGCTGGTCTGGCTGAGCACCCACTGGTTGATTCCCTCGGCAGCCGCGGTACCATTGGCCAGGCTGATGGACTTCGCCTCGGCCTTGAAGGGATCCCGCACAGCCAGGTTGTAGTCCTTTTGCAGGCTGAACTGATCGTTGACGTAGATGCGGTTGGCCAGTTTCAGCGTGGGCCCGTTCTCCTGCTCCTGCCCCTGGAGTTGGTTGAGGAGTGATCCGTACTTGGTGGCCACCGCCTGCTTGTCCTCGGTTGGCAATCTCAGCGCACTCTGCAGTTCCCGGGCTGTCGACCCTCCAGCGCCCATGTAGACCATGCTCAGCATGGTCTCTATGGAGACGGGCGAGACGATGAGGTTCTGGTTGGCGTGGCTCTTGGCCAGCAGCTGGTATATCTCTTCGGAGGCCTGGCAGGCCACAGAAGTGGCCCACAGAATCAGGACTAATGAATAATTGAACATCACAATTAGTTTCTCACAAGATAATCAAACGATACTCTATAAAAATTACTCGAGAATAAAAGCCAGAACAAAAAAATCAACAACTTCCAACTTGCTAATCAATATGACTATTACATCAATTAAAATTGAAAATTAGAATTTATAATCGATTCGAATCGGTTTTTTTTATGAGACGGGATCCCCTTCCCATGAATTCTGTCTATTTCACTTGCTTCTAGCGATCGCCACTTACACAAGTAATACATTTGACCGCCTCCAACGAACTGGTCCCCGAGATAAGTATCTCTGTAAACTGAGCGAAAAGTGCCAAGACGAGCTTATATATGCATCGGACATGCTTATATGTACCTGATGGCAATTTTCGTGCTGAGAACTGCGCACACAACTCTCTTAGATTGAAATTCAATGACTACTAGTGGGATTTCCTAGCTGAGTTTTATTTGGTCTCACTGCTGTTCTTGGACATTGTACATGCTGGCATCGGAACCTTCCCTCGAAGCGCCCTCTTCTGATCCATACTTGGGGTTCGAGAATCGGCCGGCAAAAAACACGGCCTGCGAGTTGCGAATGTAGAATACAAACGGGTGATCCACTTTGAAGAGCTTCATGTTCATGTTCAGCATCATGGGTACGATCTTCATGACTGCACGTGGGTGGAAAAATCAGTATGGAGTGGTTGGGGATAGCTGATTCCACTTACAAGTGACGGCTGCTGCCTCTGATCCAGCCTCGTTTACGTTGATGTAGCCCCGGTGCTTCGCCGCCGAGATCTTCTGTCCAGTTCGGGAGGTAAAAAGTCCGTCCAGTTTGGCACTGTCGGTGAAGACTTCCGAAATACCCAGCTGTGAATAAGCCAATTTCATTAGTAACAGGCACCATAAAGTCAAAAATAATTTATTTATGCTCCACTGTCCTAAGATATTACGTAACGAATGAAAGGTTTTAATATTATTGCGTGCACTGCACATTTTTTTGTCATATAGGACCACATTCATGTGAAGAATTCGAGGTTCTTATCTTGCTCTGGGCCTCCTAAAAAGAACTATGCCACCTCGAATTCTTCAGAATGGGATGGTTTAAAATTCCGGTGAATAACATTGAAATGTTTCGAAACATACAACATTTTACATAACAGATTTGAATGTTTCATATTGTTATTAAGATCACCACTGTGATCGAAACATACTGTTAATTCATGCAGAACTCTACTTTCTTTCTTCTTAATTTATATTCTCTTAAATACTTTAATACTTTCGAAGGATATTGACATTGACTTAAAAAAAAAAAACGTATTAAATTAGTTACTATCACAGAACTTCTCGCTACTTTTCTTTATTCTCACCTGATTTAAGATTTGCTTGAGGTCCACGTCGTACTCAATGTCCATCCTGGGCAGGAAAATCTCCACATCCCGCAAGGTCATAGCCGCGTCAATATCAGCTAGATCCACGTCCTTGAGCTGCAGCTCCAACTCCTGCAGGCCGGAGATTTCGTTGGGCAGCAGGATTAGCATGTGGATATTTGAGTATTCATAGGGTAGTTGCACGGCACGAGCCTTCAGCTGTGGGAGATCGGCGAACTTGAACTTGTCCTCCTGGTACATCATGTTCACCTCCACCTGGAGGTCCTGGTTCACGTGGAAGGCGTCAATCGATGTGGTCTCCGGCATGAAGGGTTTCAGCCATTTTCCCTTGAAATACAAGGCGTTAATAAGCACAGCGCTGGTATCGTTATCCACGGCGTCCGACTGAAGCAGGTTGCTGATCTTGTGCTCCGTCTGTTGTTCCACCCAGGCGTTGATCTGCTGCGTCGCAGCTTCCGAGTCGGCGAACTTAGCCGCCTCCGCCTTCGACTGGAAGAAGTCCACGGCAATCTCGTTGAATTCCGGGTGCAGTTCCAGGGTATCGTTCACGTACAACCGATTCACGGACTTCAGCACGGGTCCTCGGTCGCCATAGTTGCAGTTCGTCCGCCAGAACTCCCCAAAGGCGCGGGCTATGTGATGGCGATCTCCTGGTCCCAGTTGCAGTCCATTCCTCAACTCCTCGGCCGTCGACCCGGAAGCTCCCATGAAAGCCAGGGTCAAGCAACTTTGAACGGACGCGGGTGAGAAAACCGTGTTCACGTAAGGCTCTTTGCTCTGCTCCAGGGCATTCTTGGTAATGGTATCTACCAGGCTTCGGGAAAACAGATTTCTACTTTCCTGGGGATCGCTCATCTTGATCTGCGTATAGGAAAAAGTTGTTCAGTATATAAAACACTAATCTGTATCGTATGTATTATACTCAACCTGATGACATAAAGGATAGGAGTATTTAGTTTTTATCTTTTCTTACTAAAGGTTGCAAAATCATTGAAACCATTTAATGGAACTACAATTTAAACATTCATACCTCTAATTTCATGCATACCCCCCTGAATGACATATTTGAATCAAACTACTTTAGATTCAAACAAAAAAATTCCATAATTATTATTAAAATTCAACCTTCTACGGGAAGGTATGTTATAAACAAAGGGGCTGGCGGTAATTGCTTTCGTCATTATAAATACCTTTGTTGCCAACGCCATGAAAGTTAATTAAATGATAAAAAATCCACATCAACTGATAAAGTTGTTGATGTTTATTTTACTTTCGTATCGCTAACTATCGCTATTAAACCACAGAAAATAAAAGAGTGGGTGATGCATTCTTTCTGTTCTATGGGAGGCCACACATTTGGCTTACCATAACCTAGTCCACCAGGAATCTGATCGATTAACCACTACATGAAAGTCGTATTGTCACTGATAAGCTGCTTAGATCGCTGAGACAGGTGAGGAGCGTCTCCGACCTTGTCGATAAGCTGATAACTTACACCGGAAAAGAGAGTCAAACGGGCAGAATCGGAAGGCAGTTGGAGAATGTGCGTGGTGTCTGTCAGACGGCGCGGAACTGACTAACGCCCGGAATTGCAATGACTCAGAACTGAACGAACCGTTCCTCGATTAGATACATTCGAAGAGAGTCTGGAGGTGCAGGTGCTCTTGTCTCAAAGAGTCAGCTGATTAGCCCGCTGGAACAGAAGCTTCCTATCAGCATATCCGCACTTGGGCAGGCTGATAGCCTATCTGGTTTCTTATTAAAATATTTGCTCAAACACGGGGTCTTATCAGTCCATTTGGCACTCTTTACTTTTCTGTTTATGATTCCGAAAAAGAGTAGCCACTGACTCTTATATCGTATATCAGAAATTTATTTCTTCGCAATGAAAGATGAGGAGTTTGCCCAGGGCTTGGAACAATTCGCCTATAGTCTGCTTGACCAACTGTGCAGGGCCAATCCCGGGCAGAATATCATATACTCTCCGCTATCCGTAAGGACTTCTGCAGGCATGCTGCGGATGGGAGCGACGGAGGGATCGGTCACAGCCAAGGAGTTGGACGAAGGACTCCGATTTGGGGGTCGCCATGCGCAAGAAATAGCTGAGAACTTTGAAACCGTGCTCAAGTACTACAAACAGTGTCAGGCCCTTAATATGGTCAACGGTCTCTATGTGATGAAGGGTCTTGAGCTTGGTGGGCAGTTCGAAAACATTCTAGAGAGGAAGTTCTACTCCAAGCCAATGGAGATTGACTTTGGCAGCGATCAAGCTGCCAGTATCATTAATCAACGGGTGGAGTCGCAGACCAACAACCTGATAAAGGACATTATCGGCCCTGGAGTTCTATCTCAGGACACTCGACTGCTGCTTATAAATGCTATTCACTTCAAGGGAAATTGGTCAATTAGATTCAATGAAAGCGACACTCAAGAGGAAGAATTTTTCTCGGAGCCTGGAAAACCTGTTAGAGTAAGGATGATGCACGTATCGGATAGTTTCTCCTTTGCCGCGCTTCCCAAGCTGGAAGCCACTGCCCTGAAAATGAACTACAGTGCTTGTAATCTGGCCATGATCCTTATACTGCCGGATGAGAAATCGAGTCTCACGAACCTGGAAAACAAACTAACAGGCACTTCTCTACAAGCTTTGTCATCTTCCATGACCCTAGAAAAAGTTGATGTCAAGGTTCCTAGCTTTAGAGTCGAATTCCAGCAGGAACTATCAGAGGCGTTTAAGCTGGTAAGCTAGCATCGTTTCTTTTGACTATACATTTGGATCCTAACTACTCACAGATGAACATGAGCCGTATATTTAGCGAACAGGCCGAGTTTGGCTCAATGCTGAAGTCCCAGGCACCTCTATTTGTCTCCAAGGTGATACACAAGGCCTTTATAGAGGTGAACGAAGAGGGTACTGAAGCTGCAGCCGCAACAGGTGAGTCTGCAATATCAAAGATACTATTTTTAGTTTAAGTTTCCTTTAGGACCAGGCAACATAGAAGTTTTGTAAAAATATTTTGTCCATATATCTCCAAGCTTCTGTCCATAACCAGTTATAGTAGTACCTTGTATATACCAACTATTTATTAAAACATCGCAAAATTTTCTTATACGGAGAGTTACAAAAATAATTTTAAACGAAATTTACAGTTTTTGAAGCAGTCTAGCAATACCTTCATATCCGCTTAAATAATGTAAACGACAAACTGATCATTTAATAATTTCTCACTTTTTTTAGCTGTGGTCGTCTCATTAAGAACCCTGCCTGTACCTCAGCATCCACCAAAGGTGTTTCATGCTAATAGACCCTTCTTCTATGCGATCTATGACGAATCCCATGGTGTCCTCTTTGTCGGACACTTCAATACCACGAATTTGGAAAAATCGAAAAAATGTAAATCATGTACTTATAAAAACGAATGCAAATAGTGCGGAAAATAATTAAAAACACGCTTCTTATAAATTTACGTGTACAAAAGTGTCTTCATTATGAAGAATTCTTAATAAAATAAATTAAGACATAGTCTGTATAATAATTAATGAATTAATGGAAAAAAAACATCTTCAATAGCACGAAGACCGTGCTAAATGTTTGTTTTTCATATTTTCTAGGGTTGACTATCCTAACACACAAACTGAACAAACCAAAACACCTCTTCTACATGTCTATGTACATACCCACCAAGTATAGCAAAAACAAAAGACTAATATGGAAACCTGCGACACAAAAAATATGACTAGGAAAGTTTAATGTTGATGGCTTACACTGCGCGAGTAACCTGTAGCCATTAGGCTATTTTCGTTTAAGTCCACACAAATTAAACAACTGGTAATCATGCTCAGCGGAAAAATAATTTAAATTAAAATATTCTTACGTTATCAGTGTGCTAAAAATTGTGTTATTGTCGAAGACAAAAATAAGCTCGAGCCGAGCTTTGCTGATAAGGGCACAGTAAATAGTGTGGACCTTAAGTCACGGCAGTCTATAACGCACGCTTCAAACAACAGGTTATACGGGGATCAAGATCCATTATTATAGAACAAAAATAGTTATAATATGGAAAATCCTTTGCGTTCATATGGTAAGTTAGCCGGTTAGCAGACATACAAGTCTATAGAAAATAAGTAAGTAGAAATAAGAGAGTGCCACATGATATACATTTAAAGAGAGAAAGCAAAACAGAGAACACTGAAAGCAGAGTATACTACGTACTGAGAGAAAAACCTGTTTGGGAATACGAACTAAAGAGAGAACCCTCTTGTGGGCGAATAGATATGCGGGCATAAAAACAATGGGAGTCCGATGAGAAAACTCAGTTGTTGCTCAAAAGTCACATCACATAAGTCGAGGGCGGCATCCGGTTGGGTAAACAGAAATTGAAAATACAAAATCGAAGCCGCTGGAGAAAGCTCTAGAGAATCAGCAGTTGGTGCGGCCGTAAATATACCTTTCCGATAAGCGAAGCTTAGTGAATCCCCGGCGAAACGGCATACCCCAGCGATATAGTGAACACCGTTCGTGGAGGTGACTCATCTGTCCTCTGCAATTACATAAATTTATGAAACGAAGCACACCTCATCCACGCTCGATTTGGATACTTACAGCTTGCTGGTTGCTCCCCCTGCTCTGCCTAGCCCTCTCCCTCAGCCCGCTGGTCCGCTCCTCTGACGTCACCATGGCCGACGCCGCTCGCCAGGAGTACGCCCGCCGGCTGGCCCTCTTCTCCATCAACGTATACGGAAAACTGGCGGCACAGAAGCCCGGCGAAAACATCGTCTTCTCGCCCTTCTCCATCCAGACCTGTGCGGCGATGGCGCGGCTGGGTGCCGAGGGCGAGACTGCCAGCCAGTTGGACCACGGCTTGGGCCTGGCCTCCAGCGACGCTGCCCAAATCGCCCAGACCTTCCACCAAGTGCTGGCCGCGTACCAGGACAGCCAGATCCTGCGCATCGCCAACAAAATCTTTGTGATGGAGGGCTACCCGCTGCAGCAGGAGTTTGATGAGTTGTTGACCAAGCAGTTCCTCTCGTCGGCGCAGAGCGTAAACTTTGTGAAGAACGTCGAGGCGGCAGCCACTATCAACAGGTGGGTGGAGGAGCGCACCAACAACCTGATCAAGGACCTGATCCCGGCCAACCTGCTGAACCCCGACTCTCGAATGGTTTTGGTGAACGCCATTCACTTTAAGGGCATCTGGAAGCACCAGTTTCCCAAGCATGCCACTCGGCCGGACACCTTTTACGTGGATGGCGAGCGCTCCGTCCATGTTCCGATGATGGGACTAAAGGAGCGGTTCCGCTATGCCGATCTGCCGGCGCTGGACGCCACTGCCCTGGAGCTGCCCTATAAGGACTCGGATCTCTCCATGCTGATCGTCCTGCCCAACAGCAGGACTGGTCTGGCCGCTCTGGAGGACAAGCTGCGCATCACAGCTCTCTCGCAGATCACACAGGCACTGCACAAAACCCAGGTGGTGGTAAAGTTGCCCAAGTTCAAGGCCGAGTTCCAAGTGGAGCTGAAGCAGGTTTTCCAGCAGGTGAGCTTTGTTTAAGACACATAAATGATTGAAATGTAATCTGTAATCCTTTCTCCAGCTGGGCATGTCTAAGATGTTCACCGACCATGCTGAATTCGGCAAGATGCTGCAGAGCCCCGAGACCCTGAAGGTCTCGGCCATCATACACAAGGCCTTTATCGAAGTGAACGAAGAGGGAACCGAGGCCGCAGCTGCCACGGGTAAGTGCTCCAAGTCCATTAGTACTTCTTGGCATTCATCATCCTCCGCATGTCCCATTTGTTCATCCGTGTCTGTGTTGTCTTCTTTTCATTCCGCAGGCATTGGGATGCGTACGAAACGCGCCATTACCTCGCTTGAGGAACCCATTGAGTTCCTCGCCGATCATCCATTCACCTATGTCCTTGTCCATCAGGATGACCTGCCTCTGTTTTGGGGCTCAGTAGTGCGGCTCGAGGAGAATGACTCTGTCTCCAGCGAGCATGATGAACTGTGATGGTACCTTATTTTATGTCAGATCAATAAAGTCAGCTTTTTAATTTGCGAAGAAACTTCTGCACTTTTCTGAAACTTTTGGGTAATCTGAAATGGATTAAGAAAAACACAATCAGTTAAACAAAAAACATGCCTGAAAAACATATCACTGCATTAGTCAAGTTCTCTCGACCATTCCCGCATGACCATCTGCCTCGAAGCTATCTCAAGATTTCTAATAACTCAAGCGCTGACATTGATGTTCATTTTCAGGAATGGTCATGTGCTATGCCACAATGGTCTCGTTCGAGCCGATGCCCGTCCTATTCCATGTCGTGCATCCATTTAACTATTACATAATCAATAAGGACTCTACAATTCTCTTTGCGGGAAAAATTACCCAGTTCTGATTCATCATTCCATTCAACATACACCAATGGTCTCGAGTTGAATGCCACTGTCATCTCAATTTGCAGGTATGGTCACGATGATCAATTCGATGCCTATGGCCCAGCCGGAACCTAAACGTTTCTACGTCGATCATCCATTTAATTTTTACATTCTGAATAAGGACTCAACAGCTATTTTCGCTGGAAGCATACATAAACTTTAGTCCTGGGTACCTCCTACTAACTAACCAACCACACAAATTCCTTACTATTACATAATCATTAAGGACTATTCATCATTCCATTCAGCATGCATCAATGGTCTCACGTTCATTAAACTGAATGCCACTGTCGTCTCAATTTACAGGTATGCTCATGATGCGGTGTTCGATGCCTATGGTCCAGCCAGAACCTAAACGTTTCTACGTGGATCATCCATTTAACTTTTACATTCTGAATAAGGACGCAACAACTCTTTTCGCTGGAAGCATACAGAAACTTTAATCCTGGGTACCTCCTACTAACCAACCAACCACACAACTATAACATAATCAATAAGGACTATTCAATTCTATTTACGGGAAAAATCATACAGTTTTGATTCATCATTCCGTTCAACATGCACGAATGGTCTCACCTTCATTGACTTGACTGCCACTGTCATCTCAATTTACAGGTATGGTCATGATGCTCACTTCGATGCCTATGGCCCAGCCGGAACCGAAACGATTCTACGTGGATCATCCATTTAACTTTTACATTCTGAATAAGGACGCGACAGCTCTTTTCGCTGGGAGCATACAGAAACTTTAATCCTGGGTACATCCTACTAACCAACCATGCGATCCGGGTGTCTCATCTCCATGTATGCCGTTAATGGCGACTTCCGGATCCCAAAGATTCTTGGCTCCGCCTTTAAAGCTCCAAGCTATAACCACAAACCAAATGTAATAAGCTTAAGACTGCGCACAATCAATGATCTTGTATTTACTCTTTACTTTTTTGTACTAACCAAGCATGTAGCCTCAATAAAGTCCAACTGTATAAAGTTCTCCATCGCTTTTATTGTCCCTCCATAGGATTCCGAGTGATGGCCGTGGCGGGCTTTAGGCGCAAACACTTCATTGCTAACCATCCTTTCGTTTTCTACGTGAAGTCTCATATTGATCTGCCGATCTTTACTGGTCGACACTTGGGTTAAGCAATCTGAAGATTCCAAGGAAATACATTTAAGTTCAATGAATTAAAATAAATGACTGCCACTTAAAAGCTGTGATTTCGTCAAGTCAAAGTAATTTATAGAAATACCTTAGGGGAGCGCATCCAGGCCTGACGGCTTAGCACGCTATCTTTGAATTAGTATGGCAAATCGAGCAGATTTCCAATAGTTGATCTTCAAGTGCTAGGCCAGACACTCCGAATATGGTACTTTGGCTGGGAATTTGTGTTCTTTTAACGATAATGTCTTTGGGACAAGGGAACTTTACATCTGGCCTTTTTAATTGTAAGTAGCTGGAGTTCTATATTGAAGAGATCATTTATGGAGAGCTCCTTGTGTAGTGACACTCTACAGGCAGATGCCCGCCCTGCATTATCTGGACGATTATGATCTCTGTCTGGATAGGCCCTTTGGTAGATACTGCCTGGTATATGTGGAGATTTTACCCAATGCCAGCTCTGCTCTGTGGCACCAAATCGACGAAGTTTCGCGGGACTCGAAGCATCGTTTTCGACATGATCGCGTCTTTAGGGGCGTGTGCCTGGAGACTTGCCAGCAAAGTTTAAATGGATTTTCGGATGCAAACGAATTCGGGGAAGAAGATATCCTGGACAAGGAACTCCGCTCTTACTACGCCAGAGTGCACCGGCGAACTGCGGATGCAGATGAGCGCCTCCTTCACGAAGAATTGGTCAACAGCTGCCTGAATCTTGAGTTCAGGGAGAAGTTCTCGCTCAGGGTTCGCAGCCTCATCGAGTATTGTGTGCCAGCTGATAAGCAATTGGAACTGGGTGGGTAGACTAACTTTTAAGTTGTAAAAAGAATTTAAAACCTATAAAATGGATTACCTCAGATGGACTTGATCTGACGTTTTACGGTCTACTGATATGTGTACTTCTTCTAACTCTGTGCTCCTCTGTCCACGACTACCGACTGAGCAAAAAGAAAGCGCAGCCAACCGAAAACTTCTATCGGGAGGCACTAAACGGTCGTCGTAAGTATACTGCTGGAACATACATTCTTATGTTAATTTGGGCTGTCACCAGGACAGCAGCTCCTCACCTCCTTCTCTGTGTTTCGGAATTACTATCGACTGACTCAACCGCATGACTCGGATTTCTCGCGAGATATAAGTTTCTTTGACGGATTTCGAGTGATTGGCGTGTTCGTGGTAATCCTAGGTCACACGCTAATGGTCTTCATGACGGTACCGATAGAAAATCCTGAATACTACGAGCAGTTCCTCTTCAGGTTCGAGACCTCGATATTCCAGAACGGCAGCCTGGTCATCCAGATATTTTTCGTGATGAGTGGCTTTCTTCTCTACGTGAAATTCACCGAACGCCAAATGATTCAACCCACAACTGGCACCATCGATTGCATTAGTGTGTACTTTCGAGTGTTTTTCAATAGATACTTCAGACTCCTTCCCTCGCTTGTCGCCCTTATCCTGTTCAATGGAACTCTCCTGGTGCGCATCCAAAACGGACCCTTTTGGCGGCATATAACCGAGGGCGAGCGGGTTTTCTGCCGCACCAACTGGTGGAAGAACGTGTTCTTTGTGACGAACCACATGCTGGAAGACAGTGTATGTTACATTTTACTTTTAAGATCTAGTAGGTTGGCGAGAAACGGCTGTATAATGATAAAATCATAATTGTACTATATTATGGACCGCAGTTTTGTTTGTGATTAAGAAAACATTCATATCTAGTCAGTATGATTGGTACACATGTATTATGGTATTGTACACATATATTTCTTTTAAAATTATCTTTAATACTTTTTTTTCCTTGTAGTGTTCCCACCAGACCTGGTATTTGGGCGCCGACATGCAGCTATTTGAGCTATTCCTGATTGTGATTGTTATAACCAAGAAGTATATTCTTTGCTATTGCTTGAATATATTAAAAACTTTTCGGTTCTTAGGCATCCCAAGCTAACAAAGGCGTTCTACATAATTCTTCTGACGTTAGCACTAGCAGTGCCTGCAATATTGACATACGTCTTTGAGTTGGAAGCTATCTACCACCTTCGTCCTGAGTCGGTTTATATACATAACTTTTGAAAGATTTTTTAAATAATGATAAGTTTATATCCCTAGGACCTATCGCTACTTGTACTTCCGGCATTCCGACACCTTCTACCAGATGTATCCACCCTTCTACACGAATTTAGGAGGCTACTTGGCCGGGTTTCTCTGCGGACATCTTTACCTGGAGCAGCGTTCCAAAAAAGCGGTGCTCCGAGGCTTTCTTAAGTACGAACTGGCTATGTGGCTGCTTGTTTTGGCCACACTAGGAGTCCTTTTCTCCGGCTACATCTTCATCCGCCATGACTTTGCTAAGCCATCTCTTTGGTTGGCCTTGTATGCGGGTCTGCACAAGAACTTGTGGCTGCTGATTTGCGCGGGATTTGTGTACCTTATGTGCTGCAAGGTTGGAGGTGGGTTAAATAATGGATTTGATTTAATGTTTGATGTGACTCACGAATCTCCGACAGGAGTGGCCTATGATTTCTGCACTTTGCCGGTTTTTCGGCCACTTGCAAGAATCTCATTTCAGTCTTTCCTCTGGCACATTGTCATCCTGAGAATAGTGGCTGGATGTTTTAGGCAGCCGGTCTATATATCCAGCTTCTACTTGGTAAGAATGTTAATTGTTTATACTTTTCTTTGCCTAATGTTTAATTTTCCAGCTGTGCAACGTGCTGAGTGTGTTTATGCTCACTCAATTTGTGGCAGCCATGGTGGCACTGCTACTGGAATATCCGCTTGGAGAGGTCCTACGCTGCTTGATGGAGCCGGGCAAAGGTTCGTAACATATGCAAACCACACAATTTCATTTAATTTCAGAAAATTGCAGGTCAGGAAGAAAGCCAATCGGAAATTCAAATGCGTCGCGCGCAGTCAGCTGTTTAGAGTGACCGTGTTACGATCCAGGGATGCATGCGATTGCCGGCAAGCATGGCTGCCAACTTTTTGGCTTTTTTTTTTAAAAGTATTAATATTTTCATGTTTTAGCTAAATATAGCCGATGTACATGTAGAATCTTTACAATGTTTTGTTAAAAATGTAATAAAAATGTTATTACTAGAATGAATAAAAATTTTAGTGGGTCTATCTTAAACTTATTACTTATTATTAATATGAAAGTAAAATAAACACATGTGCATGTCATATTGCCCACTTTTAAAGGTGTCATAGCGCTCTCAACTTCAAAACATTTTTAAAGTGCATTAAGAGTTAATGAGAATACCTCTAAGATAATTACTGTTTGTTATGCTATCTCTCATCTTATAAATATTTTGAACGTGCACTAAGATTGTGTGACTTTCGCCTTTATTAAAGCAAGTAAACGTTATTGATTGAGTAATAATAATTTGACAACTTATTAATACTTTTGTTATTGATATTCAACTACTTAAGTAAAGTTTATAACGAACTTTGAAAAATGTAAAAAAGCGCCGCCGTCAATATTTTTTTTAATCTCGCCTGCGCGGGTGATGACACTGGCCGTTATTATTTGCACCCAAATCAAATATTATTGTTAAAGCAACGGAATATAGCTAAACTACGAAATCAAGAAAATAAAAACAGATTAATTTCTAATTGAATGACTATGGTCATAAAAATAACTCATTAATAGCCTAAATTGAACAACAAGAATCAAACTAGCTAAACAAATTATTGACTATGCTAAAAAAAAATAACTCATTAATAGCCTAAATTAAACAACAAGAATCAAACTAGCTAAACCAATTATTGATATGAGAACTCGGCTCCTTTCGACAACACTGGACGAGCCCTAGCTAGATCTAGCTATCTTCGTTGGCGGTGGCAACTCTGCGCGGATGAACGCACCGCCTGGTGAACGGTGAACGCGAACGGTGAACTGCGCTGATATCAACAACTCGCCTCGAACAACAGTGTCGAACTTGCTCTTAGATGCTCTGCGCGCTCTCGTCGGCATTTTTGTACTCGCCCCGTCTTTCTGCTGACTGAAAAGTCTTGAGTAGTGCCTTAAGTTCCCAGTCGTGTGCAAAATCTTTAGTGGAAATCCCCCGCTGAATGCGCTGGCCCCAGTGAGTGATAAATAAAGTGAGTGGAGCGGTGGTATTTTGGTGCCGTTTCTTGCGGCCGCTTTTCCATTGCGCTGCCTTTGCCTGCCTGCCACATTAAATGTCAAAGCGATGAGCAATGAATCACGGCGGTTATTTTAGCGGAATATAAATATTTGCGCTCGGTGTCAGCGGCAGCTGTGCATTTTCCAAGCAACGTTGCGAGTGGCCGATGCAAATGCGGCGCTTAAGTAATAAACGCGCGTATTACAAAATCATTAAAAATCACGGTAAAAAATAAGTGCGACAGCCGCCTCTTTGCGATTGTATGTATGAGTGTGCGTCTGTGTGCGCCGAGTGTGTGGCGTGCGTGTGCTAGTGTGCGTGCTTTCTTGTGCGAGCGGAGCGGCGAACGCAGTGCATGTGAAGAGTACCGCTATAAAAGTTTAGCCATCTGCTCTCCCGCTCGCTCACCGTGTTATATGAGTCCAACACCCAAAAAAGGGAATAAAGAGAGCGAAGCAGCGTCTTTGGCAGCGCCAGTGCCGAAAAACGTTGCAAAAACGAGCGAAAGAAATCAAAAAACTCGCAGTCGAATTTGTTGGTTTCGCACTTGATTGTATTAATTGTTTTTTGTTGTTGTTCCTTCTTTTTCCTTCCTCGCATTTCGCTGTAATTTGTGTGGCTTTTCCGGCTCTCACTTGTTTACGCCGAGCGGGAGAGAGCAGGGAGAGCGGGAGAGGCAGAGAGAGAGAATGTGCCAATTGTTGCTGGCTGAAGCAACAAGTTACTGGACGTGGCGGGGGGTGTGGCGGGGAGCCGTGCGTGCCGAGGGCGCCAAAATGAGCCGAAATTTGAAATACGGAATATTGGCCCAGCAGCCATAAACGTGGCTTCCAGTTGGCCCGAGCGCAGAATTGCGGTTCATTTCGTGTGTGCGAGCGAGAGCAAGTGTGAAAAACAAGCGACCTCCAGCGGCGTCTTGGCATGGAAAGTGCGAGCGAGAGGGCGCACAGCATACGCCCCCACGCACAGCTATTTCGGTTGCTCCCCAAATGGGTTAAGCAGCGAAACTTAGCCAACACCAATTAGTGACAAAATATGAGAAATGCACTGGAATGAAGCAGACACTCGCACACACGCACGCACACACTCGCACGTCCGCAGATCGCGTTTATGCGTCAGCAAATGTCGCGATTACTGTGCCGCCAACAGCTGTTTGGCCACGATCGCAAAACAGCCGCGCGTATAAACGGCGATGGGCGACTAACAAACATGCCAATTGGCGACACTCACTCGGAGAAAAGTAGATGTCTTTGTCTGTATACCCTTACGGTTTTTACAAAAATACAAAGCTCTTTATTCAAACGACCAATTTTTCATAACTAACTTTCGTTAGCACTTCCCGAGATCGGTTATAGGATGTAGATCATCACCAACTAAATATAATAACATTCCAAATGGATTACTGGATGGATACTCGAAAGATAGATATCCAAAGTGATTATATTTTATAGAGAAGAGCATTTAACAATTGTTTTTCTCGTCTTTGAATATTTGAAGTTTTTGTCATAACCATTTATCTAACTTCCGCATTACAATAATACAAATTTGAACACTGATAAAAACACGACCATTTAAAGGGCATATTTGATCTACACTTGCGAACATCTTTATAGAAATATCAACGGAAACTATTTATCTACTTTGGAATTCTTTTAAAAGACTACCAGCAATAAATGAATTCTTTTTATTAAAATTGACCGATCTTTGTCCTATTCCTGGTAAATATGTAGGTAGACAAATAAAAGTTAAGAAGTATGGGAAGAAAGATAATTAATAGTAAATGGGGTTGGCCTAAGAAAACAAATGAATTCAGGAAGGCCTGTTCAGGTTTTCACTTTCGAGAATTTTACTCGAATTTGATTTTTACAAGTGTTAATATTTTCCGGCTTTAAACTATTCTTTCAAGACAAAAGTATTTAAAGAATAATTTTACGATCTTAACGGTTAAAATAGTAATCCAATAAATCGTATTCCAAGCTGCATATAAAACGGATAGCCAAATACGACACATTTTTCCGAAAGTAAAAATCTGAACAGGCCTTAAAATCGCAATACCCCTAATTTATAGGGTATGTAGGATACAACTGCCGCCCAGTCTGACTAAGCGCAAATGGAAATGCAAAAAATAGCAACAAATGCGGGGCGAAGTGCGGGGATAGCGCGGGGAAGAAGAAGAACGAGCTGCAATTAAGACAGCAACAAAAGCCAGCGCCACTTGTGACGGCGAGAGGGAGGGGGTGAGGAGGTGGGGAGCGTCGGGTGGGGCACTGCATATACGTGCGGTTAATTTTAGCAGCAGAGTTCCACTTTCACTCGGCCAGCGACGACACCCACTGTGCAGCAAGCCAGCAAGTCTGCCGCGACACTTGCGCGCTTTTTGTCAAAATCTTTGGCTAATCGCCGTCAGGCACGCACACTCGCAAAGCAGTTTGATGAACCTTCACACACACACGCGCTGCACATCCAATGACGTTGCGACTGCACCAATGACATCATCATCATCACCATCGAGTCGAGTCGATCGGCGAAAGTTTCCAGTGCAGAAGACGGCCGATAAACAGGGGGCCTCTTATCACAGATGACTCATGCATGTGGCACTGCGATCATTGGCCAGCTGATTAGCGGTGCACCGTGAAAAAATGACACCATTGTTACAAAAATTAATCTAATATGATGATGATAATTGTTAACTAAAATGTTTCTAACGGATTTAAAATCTACCTGTATCTAAAAAACAAACAAAAACACCTCTTAACGAGGTAAAAATCTAGTGACGATCGCACTTTCAACAAACAAAAGTTATGATATCAACTTTTGTGACGAAAGTCTATTGTACGATCTACTAAATAAATACACTTTCTACATTTTTTACATTCGGCACGCTGCAATTCAATATGCCTGTGTTTAGATGTACGATTTTGATAAAGCGTGTCGAATGAGAAAAACACAGGTATATTGAATTGGATCGTGCCGAATGTAAAAATTTAGAAAGTGTATTTCTTTAGTAGATCGTATAGTACATTTTCTTCACAAAAGTGGATGAAACAAGGAAGAACGCTATAGTCGAGTACCTCGGCTATCAGATACCCGTTACTCAGCTAAATGGAGATATGCAAGCAGCAAAGCGAGATTAAAATGCGCCACCTACCGGCGGTATACAGATTTAAGCGTTATGGGCGTTAGAGTGGGCGTGGCAAACTTTTTTTTGGATCAATCGATAGGTATTGATGAGAACAATACATTTCAGCTAAAATTTTTATTTTAGTATCAAAACTGTAGGAGCCACAGTTTTGGGCGGTTTGTGGGCGTTAGAGTGGGCGTGGCACTGTGCTGAAACAAACTTGCGCTGCGTAAGCAGCTCAGGAATCTGCACGCCAAATCTCAATAGCCTAGCTCCCATAGTTTCCGAGATCTCAGCGTTCATCCGGACGGACAGACAGACGGACAGACGGACATGGCTAGATCGACTCGGCTAGTGATCCTGATCAAGAATATATATACTTTGTGGGGTCGGAAACGCTTCCTTCTGCCTGTTACATACTTTCCGACGAATCTAGTATACCCTTTTACTCTACGAGTAACGGGTATAAAAATTAGGTGTTATTCGACGCGTATTTTAAATGAGAATACAACTAGACTAATGAACTTGTGCATTTAACCCCAACGGCCCCAACAGATCAACGTTTCTGTCTCCCTAACCAATTGATTTTTTTATGGTATGCAGTTTTTGCGATACCTTTCGATTGATGTATCACTCGTAACGATCGGACGATCACAGTAGATTTTCATTTCTTCGTGTATATATGGTAGTCGCCTTCGCAAACTCTCCTGGTGCGCTTCGTCACTACGTGTACTGCCGTCCGCAGTGATAAACAAATGATTGGGAG